AAAAAAAAAATGTTGCAACTGGGAGCCTGGACCTTAGCATCTTTACATTTCCTAAACATTATTTGTCATATCTGCACACATAAGATTGAGAAATAATAAAAAAAAAAAAAATCAGGCATTATTAAGGGGCACCAGAACTTCTGAGGACCCCAGGACGTCGTATTTTCTTTTCCTTTGCTAAGAGAGTTACTTAGCTCTGGTTATTATTTAGTTTTTTCTTCTGTTTTATTCCTAAGTTGCTTGTCACAACCATGATGTGTCAACTCCATAACTGACGATTTTCAAAACTTTGATGAAATTTTGTGAAATAAAAGCTTAATTCTGGTAAACTGTAAAGATTTCATGGACCTGATGAGCTACAATATGGCCTCCTTCAGAATAACATCATATAAATTGAGGTAGTTTGGCTTTTTGTCAACTCCGTCAGTTTTTGTGACTCTTTCAGTGAAATTGTTGTCAAATCTCACTTAAATGTGCAATTAATTCATTTTCATGTATTNTTTTGTCCCTATTCTCAAGAATCACTGAAACATAAAAGTAAAAGGAAGTACAACTAAACTGTGGATTTAAAAAGAAAGGCATAGGACTGAGCTTCTTAATCAGTTTTAGTACCGTTAGTACTAAGAAGAATACTAAGGCATCTACTCAGTTCAAACACCAGAAAATCCCAACGTTGTTACACTTATTTTTTCCCTCTTTCTGTTTGCTTCTGGTATCTTCCAAAACAACTTGAGTATGTACCGCCATCTACTGTGAACAAATGTACAATGGGTTGCCACTTGTATTCTCCCTTGTCTACCAATCTGCTCCTTTGGATTACTGCTTTTCTTTCACCTTTTCAAGCCGATTGCTAGCTATTTTAAAGTCAATTTCATCAGCAGATTTAATCCCTGGTTTGCCGGTGACACCAAACAGAATTATTTATCTGTATTAGCCCTTTTAGTCCAAAAAAAAAAAAATGCTAAGGAATGGTTCAACGAGATGATCTTCTCTTGACAGTTTGTGTACACTGTAGCATTTCTAAGATGGCAACTGAGTCTGATCACATCACCTCGTCTGACCTGAGCTCTTTGTCCGCCTGCAAGCCAAAGAAAACTGTGAAGATATCTGTTGCAAATATTCCCAACTGGTAAGTCACTCTTTCATACATTTTATGTTTAAATTAAAATTAATTGATGCGCTTTCCTGATGGTTTTTAGAACCACCTGTGGTGATTCTGAGGTTAATATTTCCCAGATATGTTTCATTTTACCATGATTTTTCTTCAAATAACCAAAACTTAACTCCATTTTAAGTTTTAATTCCCCGAGTTATTTTTCTCTCTGTTCTTTGCTCCAATTGTGTCTCTCCTTTTGTTAGTCCTGCATGATAGCATGTAATTTAATACCTTCAATATCTATAATACAGTGGGATCGCTGCAAAGCATTGAGCAGCAGCTCAAGTTAAATGTAGGACTATTTTGAGTTATAGATGTTTAATTTGTTATACAACAATAGGCCTCAAGTATTCAAGTACAGAATGCTTCTCATTAGTGGGCTCTATAACATTACATTAACACAATCAATTATTGTGTTTGATTTCCAGAAGTGTTTACAGAGACCGTAAACTACTGAACTATATTACTCCACTTTCTCCACTGTCAGTACATTCAGTGCTTCATGCTCTTTTATACTTTTTGAATGTTCTTTTGTTATTTCTCCATGGCCTCTCTGTTGCGCTCCTTCTTCATGATGTTGCTTGTTAATGTCCTCTAACAAACCCCTGAGGCAACAAAATCTTTCAGCGACTTGGTTTAGCTTCAGTCTTCCAGAATACATATAAAATATTCAACCTGTGGAACATTTGTCTCATGTGGTGTCTGCCTGTTCGGTAACTTTGGACTATTCTCCACTTCTCTTGATTTCCAATTTAATTTTAATTATGTGCACATTTATTCACGCATTTTTCCAATTTAATCTTCAACGTATAGATATTTTTTCTCCTTTAGTCGTCTTCAAGAAGTCACTAAGCTTTCCTAATTTGTTTTTTTTCACCATCTCCTCCACTCTGTAATAAATGTTAAATTTCTACACCACGTTCCTTGCCTAAATACTTCCTGTAGAGTCATATCCTTTCAAAATGTCCTGACTCTGGGCTTTGCTATAAAAACAGGAGACAATAAGGCATGTGTCAACGCTCCCCAAAAAACGTTAACTAAGCATTTTTGAGGATATTTCTGTTTTTTTAGAAAACGACATAACTGTCTTAGTAAGTGAAATTTAACATGCATAGGATAGTGAAAAACGTCTAATCTATCAATCAGGATGTCAGTAGCCAGTCACTGACATCCAGTAATAAAATAAAGTAAATAAAATAAAACACAAATGTGTTAGTGGTTTTGAGTATTTTAGTGAGTATATAATCAGTTTAATCTTCGTGCATTACAGAATAACAAGAACGGACAACTTTAACAGAAACACGTTTGTTATTCATATAACCAACATTCTATTTATTCTATATAGAATAAACAGAAAGAAAACATGAATAAACAAAAAACACATTAAAATATTCAGTGCAGTTTCTGTAGTTTGTTGAAACATTTGACATATCTAACTCTCATCATACCTTTGCGTGTGGTTCCTCAATTAGTCCTCTGGATAAATGCTATTTTCTGGAATGGAAGTTACTGCTTTGTTCAGCCGGATTTGTCATTCGCCAGTGATTTGCTGGTTTGCTAGTCATGTGAAAATGTCGGAAGTGTCAACTCATGTGTTAACTGACACCTCAATGGATCATGGGATGTGTAGTTCAAAAGTAACACGGAAGAAAAAAAACACACCAAAATAAACAGAAAATTTATCTAAATATAGATCAAATTATACATATCTTACCTTTCGATACATGCATTACAGTCTCCAAATATATGTGGCGACGTTTTCCATTCATGAAACACACATGATGCCTTAACCCTTTTACGCAGGAGTTTCAAGCGTCTGCCTAAATAAACCTTCCTTATTTTAATTGTAAGTAGTTCTTTAAATGTCCTGTGAGATGACATGACCCATGTATCGATAACAACTGGAACTTTCAATGTCCAGCAAGTTATTTTCGCAATATGCCGTCTGTTAAACAAGTGCCCCCGGATTAATTACGCTCTCTGTAGCTGCAGCTGTGAAGTTGCCGTATTAACCCGATACTTGCTGGAAAGAGCAAAGTCCGTTGGAATTTTTCAGATAGCGCTACGTGTGGTGGAATTACGGAACTGCAAATTTAGATGTGTCGCCGGCGACACATTCCCGCATAAAAGGGTTAAACTGTCTTCAGAATATTTAACCAACAATGACTACACTTCTATTAAAACCACAATTGTTTTACAAATCAAAGTATTGCTCAGAGCTTGAATTTTTACGTTCTGAGCCTAAAAAGTACGAACTGGTACTCCAACATTTTTAACAAAAATGTCAGCAACAGCTCAGATATGCCTGTATAACTCATTTTACACTTGTATTAACGAATAATTTTTTTTTCTTGCTTTATAGTGAAGTAAGAAAATAAATACTATGTGTGTGTGTGTGTGTGTGTGTGTGAGAGAGAGAAATGTAAAAGTGTATACTGGTGGAGACTTAAGGGACTGGAAGGAGCTGGTATGGTGGGAAACATTTGTTTCCGAGTCGATCTGAAAGGGAACACGACGGAAGGTGACGAAAAATCCAAAATGTAAACCCTGAGTAGAGACTTTCAGGCGTAGCTTCCGCTTAAGCGGTTTACCTCCATGTAAACCCAAATATATAAACTAAACAACACAAAACTTTGCAGTTTAAAAACTTATGAATTGATTTTGAAATTATGATGAGGATTGTGAATGTGGCTAAAGTAAAATTGCACCTGAAAAACTAAGCTCTGGGGTAAAAATAACAAAACGGATGTTGTTGACGTTTCTTTCGGAGTAGTATCCGGTTAGGAAGACGGCTAGTTTCTGAGCGGAATCCTTGTACTCGGTGCATTTACTCACTTTATATTCCAAACGACACGGGCCAGCTTCACAGTTTAACAATGTGGACGCTTATTTTCAATATGTTTAGTATTCCAGATAAAACTCTTGCCATTACTAGGGTTCTTTATTAGCATAGCTAGCTAATTAAGCTCTGACAAGTGCTCGGCTGCTGACGAAAGACGAAATACTGTCAAGCGGAGGAAATAATTAACTTGTTTCTTTAAATGCTAACTCGCTGACAATGGGAACTTGTACTAATAGGACTCCTTGGTGTCATTTGGTATGGTTTTTGAATTATTTGATTAATCTTATTTGGTATAAGTGAAGCTTAAAACAAGGCGGTACGCATTTATGTTTTTATCGTTGACCTAAATTACTAAAAGATTAGATAATTTTTTTGTATACTGAACCGTGGTTGTCAGTGTCATATTTGGCTTCATTTAACTGAGTGGGTTTGCTTGAATGCGTTGTATGAAAGTCGGTCTCTTACTTGTCGCATGGGTTCAGGTGGCAGCTTGGAAAGTTAAACAGGACCTGAAACTGTTTGCACTGCTCCGCCTCTCTTCTTTAATACTTTGTAGAAACAACATTCCTCCCAACCTTCTGATTGCACTTAGTTGTCGGTAGCTCAAATTCACGAAGACGTGATTGGACTTAAATGTGCTTGAAGGGTGCCATGGTGTCCATTTGGATTAGAGCAGTGGTAATGACTAAATATTTAACATAAACTGCAGCTGAGTGCACATTGCTGCGATCATCTCAACACATCACAACATGCCGCCTGTTTTGTGCCTGTTGATGCTCTTCGGGGCATTATGGTCTTATGGAGAGGCTATGTCGCGGGAAGAGAAACAAAAGTTTAGGTAAGTTACACAGGAACACTGATTGATGTATGATTTAAAAAAAAAACTGTTTAACCCTGCAGAATTTCGCTAATTTTTGTGGTTTTACCAAAGGAACCAAGTGGTAGAGATGTTTGACCATGCATATCAGAATTACATGGTAAGTTTTGGTCCTACTTTATTACCACCTTTCAAAAAACAGCGAAGTATGAAGTTCGTGGCATGGAGTTCAAGGAATGTTTGTGTTTATTCTAGGACCATGCATACCCAGCAGACGAGCTCATGCCTCTGACTTGCAGAGGGAGAGTACGTGGCCTTGAACCCAGTCGAGGAGATGTGGATGATGCACTTGGGAAGTAGGTAGCATTCTGCCTTGCCACCCCTCGGCCTTCCTTGTTTTAATGGAAACAGTGATGCCGATATGGCCCCTCAGGGTTTAGCTTGTTTGCTCGCAGATGTGAGAGAGCAAACTGCAAATTTGGATTGAATCTTTATACACTTGGCTTTTTTATGTGTATATATAACACATTAATGGCATAGTTTAACTGATTAAGAAAAGCACTGCATCTTATTTGGAAAAGTACAGTCAGAAAAATTATTTAATATAAAAAGAGCAGTCATGTGGGAGTGAAATGCAGAACTGATGTGATATAATAAGGTTTTAAGTTTCCTAAAAAAGAGTTTAATTTGCATTTGAGCGTTTGGATAAACATGAGATGATGAGGAAGTCTGTGTGAAGCACAGAAAATGAAGAAAGATTCTGCCACATCACATAAGATTCAGATCTGAAACTAAGATTATAATGTCTGTTTCTATGTGTTTTAGCTTCTACATGTGTTATTTTTGTGTTTTGGCTAGATTGCAATGATAAGTGTGACATAGAGATGAGCTATTACTTTGTTGTTTTATATTATTGTGGAAAAAAATAGCGCTAAATGAATTAGTCATGCTTTGATAATAATGATAAACACTTCAGTGTTGACGCTTGCAAAACCCTGAAACTAACAGCATGATGGGAATTCTTATTTTTTTAAGCAATTTTCACTCTGCTTCCTTGTGATGATCGTTAAAGGTTGGGTTTACTTTTCAAAATACGATTTAATTTCAAGCTGTCTTGTGAAGCTTGGCAGCTTGTTATTTTGTTCTTGGGTTTGTATGCACAAACTTGTTTTCTTCGTTAAAAAAAAAAACTACATAAAAATAAATAAATACATTGAAATAGTTGGCAGTTCAGTTGCTCTACTAGATGTCACTATTGTAGTGAAGCGTCATTTTTAATAAAAAGAGTTGATTTTATTTTTAGATATATGGCAACAAAGGTCAGGAATTTCAAATAACTTTTTTAATTGTCATTGCAACACATACTGTAAAACTCAGTAATAAAATAAAATGTAAACTCTTTATTTGCTATTTGAACAAAAGCACTCATTAACTTTATTTGTTGGTTTATCTGCCAGATTTTCTTTGACGCTTATAGACACCTTGGATACTTTGGTGGTGAGTATTGTTTATTTTGTTAATATTTGGTAAGCTTACATGATAAAAATTTAGCAAATTAATTGGAAAATTATTTGAGTATTGCAGGGTTTTTTTTTTTTTTCCAGAAGAATAGCTACTGTGAAATTTCAACAAAAACATATTAGAATGGAGTAACCGAGCAATAATTCTATACAAAAAACCCCAAAAAAAAAACATCCCAAATTACTGATTATAAAATTAAGTAAATATAAGAAGTGGGCAAAACCCAGCATGGATTTGTTTTATACAATCCTAAAAGTCTAGTTAAAAGGAAATAATTTTCAAAATAAACCACTTCTTAATAATCGTGGAATTTTACATGTAACAAAATTGATCAAAGCAATCATAAACTACAAATTGAGCAGAATCCTCCTAGTTTCTCTGAATTTTTAAAACTAAACTTCATACTATCTTAAGGTCTGTAACTAAGGATGATCTTTGGGTTATTTCTGCAGCTTCTGAACAAGACGACGGAGTTTGAAGCCGCCGTGAGGAGAGTCCTGTCTGATGTGCGGCTGGACAATGACATTGTGGTGTCGGTCTTTGAAACCAACATTCGAGTCCTTGGGTGAGATTCGATTGGTCTGCCTATGCATATTTAAAAAAAAAAAAAAGAAGTTATCTTGCATTATTTAATGTGTGCTGAGTGTTTAAAACAGTGGATGTCAAATACAAAACAGGAGAGGCAGCGGCTTCTATTGCACTGATTTTTTTTAACTGTGGTCCCACAGGGGTCTTCTCGGTGGTCATTCTATGGCCGTGATGCTGAAGGACGGAGGACAGAACATGCAGTGGTACCAAGACGAACTCCTGCATATGGCCAAAGACTTGGGACTGCGACTACTGCCAGCCTTTAACACCAGCAGCGGCCTGCCTTATCCCAGGGTGAGATTCACTGTCATTCAATTTCATGTGGGGAGAATTTTGCAGTGTTCATTACAGCGTGATAATAGCTCCATAAAGCAGAAACGATAATCTGTGTTGGAAGTCGTTGGTAATTCATTAATTTATCTACATTTGCATGGAGATCTGTCTCAGTTCCATACTTATTTGCATTTTCCACTTTGCTTCACCGGCTACAGCTGTCTTATCTCTAAACACATTTTCACGCTCGACTTGCTTCTGTGTGGAGTCTTGAAAACCTTTTTTTAATCATTATTATTTTTTTTATTTTTTTTTTTATTACAAGATAAACTTGAAACATGGCGTCAGGGGTCCAGAGACGAGAACCGGTACGGAAACGGACACCTGCACGGCGTGCGCGGGCACCATGATCCTGGAGTTTGCTGCCTTAAGCCGCTTCACTGGGGACCCTGTGTTTGAGGTACAAATTAATATTCATGAAAATGTCATGCATGATATCCAACCCATAAAATCCCCACAAACCCGCTTATAAGTAAACACTAATTTGAGTAAAAAAACTGGT